ACCACTTCACCAATATCCAGTCCCTGGTTGGCTGCCTATCTTCCTCGCATGCAGTTGGAAAGACTCGAGTTAGAGGATTGGCTGGGGTCAGCGTGTCCCAATATGTCTGCGCCCTAATACGTGGACTTGTAGAATACCCGAGCCCTAATAGGTAAAAGACCGGTACAACAAAACAGGCTTTATTGACCAATCAGAAGCCAGAGCCACGCGTCAGGCGCCTTCCATCCGAGTCCACCGCGCTGGCCACGCCGCTCATTATATACTACACCTCAGTCATGTCCTTCTCTGGTTGGCTGCCTTTCTTTCCCGCATGCCATTCTATCGCAGAGAGACACGGGATTGGCTGAGGCCAGGTGGTACAACATGTCTGCGCCCGAAACCGACGCCACAGACTTTAGATCGAGTTTTTCGTTGTGGTCGCTTTGTGGTTATGGATAAAGTTCTGAGCGGATTATCTCTCCTAAAGTTTTCTTTTATATTGGTCTTATGTTTGTCCCAGATTTAGTAAATTGACTAGTGTGTTTTTCCGTCCTGTCGTTTCGCAATCCAGCAAATCCCACGTTTTCCCTGCTTATGTGAAGCTACACTTCCACGAAGTTAAGAATTGTAATCCTACATTGAAAGCTCCTGAGATCCTAAAGAAGCTTAGTGAAATGTATAAGGCGACGTCTCCGGCTGAGCTGGCAAAGTTAAATTTGGGAAGTAGAATCACCACATTTGTTCCAAAAACAAGCAAGGAGAAAATGGAATCTCGAAAAAAGCTTACGGTGTGTTTTGTGTACCCTATTGGATTCTTTACCAAGAGTTTTCATTTTGCATTCCTAAACATCAGCCCTGTGCATAGCGTTACCCCTTAGAAGTTTCTCCAGAATAAGGCCGATCACTATTCAAGTTATGACGCTCAGTCTTTTCAAATCCCTCTTGACCATGATTTGAGTAGTTATTTGTCGCTAGGCAAACGTGTTCAATAAGTGGTTTAAACATTCGTCAATTAGGATAGTCCATTTTCCCATGATAAACTAATGAGAATTAGTTCCTGTACTCTGTACTTTATTTGCATTTTGACGCTTTCATGGTGTTCGTTTTTTCACCATTGATTCTCATCGCAGTCGTTACCAGTTTTCCCCTAAATTTTGGAAGATGAGAAATTTCGTGCTAAATTGGTTCTTAATCCCGTTAGTAACTGTTTCTACCACAGTGGATCAGTGGTACACTAATTTCGGTAATGTATGTTTTTGAGCAAATCCAATTTGATGCTACTTTGTCTTGCATCCGAGCCAATTTCTAAATGGTCGAACGTCAACATGAGATTGTTTGTTCATCATAGTCGTCCTTTTTTTGTGGCTCAAATAATAGCGTAAACTTATTTACATGCCAATGAAAGAACCAACCTTTGTTTTGTAGTTTGCTCGGAAGCATGGTTTGCCGAAGCCCCAGCCGCTGACTGGATACATGGTTTTTATTCATGAAAAACTTTCCGGAAACAAGGTATTTATTACTATCCCGTAGAACTTTTGGTAGTATTTGCTTAATTGACTGCGCCCATTTAGTTGTAGATTTCGATTAAACCTAACGACAGTTCATTAGCAATCCATTTGGAAGGCACCGAAACAACAGCCATGCAATGGTTTTTTCTCCTATCTCAGTACTAGAAGCTGCTCATAGCTCTTAACAAGTTTAACCTAAGAGTTGCGGTATCATTTGCTTTCGGCAAAGAATTAAAAAAGTATGAATTCTGGTGAATGAGAGTTTCCCAACCTAATCAGCTGCACGGACTTGGTCCATTAGCAGAACAAAGTTGACTTAAATTTTGAGGCAAAATTTTAGGGTGTCTTGATGTTTTAATTCATAAATAAAGATCCTTTTTCTTTCAGGGATTGAGCCTGCAGGACATGACGGCTAAATTGTCTGATGCATCCAAAGCATGGCAAAACTTGCCGGAGTCCAACAAGGAGGTATGTTTTTTGTCTAAATTCAGTAGTATTATCTTTTAGAGTTGTCAAATTGCGAGTCGACAGTCATGCTTATTTCAAGTGCATGTGCTGAGGTTAACACCCCTTCACGCCTATTCTGACTCCGTTGTTTTCCCTCTCTTTCCTATTTTCCCCATAAGAATCTGTCCCAATTTTATAACTAGACGAACTCGAAATGCCGAACAGTTAGTAGCCAACCGACCTTAGACGTGGACCATTTTGCGTGAGTCCGCTCTCTTCAAATGCCAATGCCTCTTGTCTCTTAGGCGTATAACATGCGGGCATCCGAGAACAAATTGTCTCACCTGCGTGACCTGAAGGCCTGGGCTGACGAGAACGAAATTCAGTTCTCGAAAAGGAGCTCGGTTCTGGCCAGCCGCCTCTACGCCAAGCACCATGGCAAGGCGGCGGCGGCTGCTGCTGCCGCAAAGGCTAACTCGGCCAAATCACCATCAAAGTAGCCCGGAAGATTTTTTTACAAACCGTAACTTTTATTGGTGTGTAAATATAAACACATATAGACTTATCTTGAGCTATTTCTATGGGGAGTGGGCTAGAACTTTGTCGTTCTCACCGAAGTAGAGGAAACGAAGGAATGGGGAGAGGGGGTTGAGGCATAGGGCAGTCTGTGTTGGCGTGCCTCGCCCTGAACCGCCAAAACCTTTAAGTGAAGCATTTTCCCGCACAGAATCTCCACCACTCCTTTGAATTGGTACGAATGTGATACCCATTGCAGCGGGCCCGTTAGAACCCTATTTGCCCGGGAGCATGCGTCGTGTAAGTCCTGATTTCGATCTGTAGGTAAATATCGTTTGTCTACCTGAGTAGCAAGGCGGTAGCTTGATCTGTTGGGTGGCGTTTTTGGGGCGTCTCCTCCATTTACTGCTAATGCATGTAATGGCCTTGAACACTGTCGTTTCTGTAAGATGTTACACAATCGCTGACGCAGTTGGGCTTTCCTTTCGTGTTTTTTCACCCTAGATTATCTAATTAGTCTGTGGTAGCTGCTTATTGAGGTCGTTTGATGGCGAGGTCGAATAAGCGTTTTGACGTTTTCCCATCATGAAATAAACTTTTAGATACATGTGTCTACTGTGCGTCTTAAGTAGACAATTTAGCGCGTCTTTCTTTAATGCGGCCAAACAACACAGGCTAAAATTACTACAAAAAATGAAAAAGAAATCGACCATTTGACTGTCAAGTTGCACAACAGGTTTATGCTATTTGCGGAAAGTGTCTGCCCTTCAATACGGGTGTAAAAATTTATATTGTTTGCTTAATAAATTGATATGTGATTGCCGTAATCGAAGATCTGTGTTTTTTTTGAAAATATTACAAAAACTGAACCAAGAGCAGTCATAGCTTGCATTATTAATTTCTAAAAGTATCCGCTTTAAACAACTCACTAGTATGTTTTGTGAGTACGAATTAGCCCCATTCACTTGCACAGTGCTCGCACATTTTTGTTGAGTAGATGAGGGCGGTGCGTCTGTTTTGGCAAATTAGCTACTTTTAGGCACCTGATCTGTCAGTCCCGGTCAATCACCGTTCAGGTCGAATCTCATGAGACTCGAGCAGTTGTGTTGTCGTGCGCACTGGCCACCCAACCCGCTAATCACGAGTTGTTTGAGTGTGCATGCCGCCTTGGTGAACCTATTTGAATATTTCCGACACAAGGTATAACCCTGAACCATGCCGCCGCCTTAACGCAATAGCACAGAACGAATTCTCAAGTGGCCGCATGTCTTCGATGGGTTATCTGTTTAGTCCTTGCTTTGCGCACTTTCTCAATAGTGCTGCTGTAAACCGGGTCATTTCCTTGTGCTCATTTGAGCCGCCAGACCTATGGAAAGTTTTGTATTTAAGATTTTGCAATCGACATGCTTAGCTGCACCACTGTCCCTTCGCGCTCTCTTAGTATTGTTGTGATATGCTGACATTACTAACCAAAGTGCCTGGGCGTTACAAAGCGATTCTGTGTGTCGAATGTGATTTTGATTAAAAATACACATTGCAGAAAGGCAACAACGACACCTGGATGGCCTTACCGGTTGGTGCAATAAGATGCTTGGAACATCTCAGACATAATTCGTCTGTGACTGAGAGGGGTGTAGCTCAGCCTCTGCCTCCGCGACAAACTCCCAAGGAGGGGGCTTCGACAGTTACAATAAGCTTAGTGTGTTATTCCGTCAATGGCTGCATTGTGAGCAGCAGTTTGTTGGCCTTTTTCCACCCAACTGATTGTAAATTAGGATTTAATTTCCTTTTTAAAGGAATGCAGTGGTCACTAGGTGGGTTGTTCATATGTTTGCGAAAGTCTAATTTCTCTTAGTTGGCGGTTGACGCTAAAAAGATAAGAGGATTAAAAACAGAGTTGAATTTGATAAAATGAATGCGAAAACATCAGTGGATGCTGGATTTCTCAGTGCCAAATGATCGGACGCAAGCGAGAGCCACTTCAAATCAATTGCTTCACTGCAGTCTTTGGACACATCTAAAGATCGCAACAGGTTCATGTAAGTCTGGCTTAGGTTCTTGAAAACGTTATTCTCTGTAATCCAACCTGGTTGAATAGGCTTCTTGCTAGCACAATTAGGCTCTCGAACAAGTGTAACTTTATTGTAACCCATCTATCACATATTAAAGTGTAGGCGCAGGCTGTCATGGTTAGGGTCTGCCCGCAAACCCCCCACGCAAACTGAAACGTTCGGTTGTGGTTGCGGACGTTCATGTAGTTCACAGTCTGTGGTGTGTTGGAGAAGCACTTTTGTTGTCCCTCCATCCATGCGTCTCGTAGTTATTCACCGTCGTGATGCTGTGTTAGTCTTCTTGCATCCTCAATGACTCCGTCGGGTTAACATTTCTATCTTCCTATCCATAAACCCAATTCAACATTGCCTCATATGTCGTACCAAAATAGGGTGGGCAGAATCAGTACTTGCGTGGTCTGTCGTGTCACTTATTTTTCGTGCTTTGCAACGCGGTGGTGCTGCGGTATGCCCTTCGTTTTACTCAATCAACGACTGAGTCCGGATCCATTCCTTAATATTCGCGTGAGTGTTCAGTGGCAAATCGGCTGTTTATGTGAGAATTGTCGAATTTCGGAATTACACATTTACCAGGTCACTGTGCATGCGTGTTGCGTACTCACTGTGGCTAAACCGTAAGTGTGTGACGCTAAATGCAGAAATGATTGTGAGATTATGCGCTGTCTAGGGTTTTTTAAGAAGCTTTTTCGTTTAAATCTGTTATTTTATGTAGCAGCAACAACAAAGCACAATTTCTTCACTGAATGCTTCGGGCATTTCGAACGCATTAATTTTCACTACCTTCCATTAATTGTTTTTGTCAAACCGCCTTTATACCGAAGGCCAAGAAAGTCAAAATACTTTCGCCTGTTGATGACTTAAAAGCGATCAAAAATATAAAGCATTGAAAGCTGTTTTGACCCAAGCAAGTCCGTTTGCAGTGCGTCCAGCTAATGTGTTGAACTCGTTGTTTGACAGGGTTATTTTTCCTTTCCCCAATGTGGCGTGACTCGCATCTCACAAAGTAATGGTAATCACAATAGTGAAACCGGTCCGCACTATTAAGTACCCGTGCAATCGACCGCACGCCTTCGCTCGTGATTGGCCCGAGTGCTGCCGATCGGCTGTGTGACGCGGTGAGCAAATGCAACTTTCTTTAGTATTCGACATGGCCTTGAGTGCTTGACTAATTGTCCAAGTGATCATCTATTCGCATAAACAGCGTAACAGAGAACAAGGAAGCTTTCTCCGGCCACTTTTGGCTGCAAAGTAATGTCAGTTATGTCAATTATGTTACCTCTTTGAAGTCAGCATTGTTCCATCAGAGCACCAGGTTATGCCACTCATCCATGTAAACTCGACCTAGTCAATTTTAGGGTCTGGTGCGCACACAAAAAATTACGGGACTTGATTTTAGCAAAGCGTCAGTCGGAAGATAGTTTGTGAATAGCAGCAAGTATGTTCAGAAAACTTCAAAGTTTTGACCGATTTTTCTGAAGTTAAATCTGCAACATACAGGTAACACCAATGCCTCAGTAAAATCAACATTTCTGCTCCATAATGCCTTTGCTATTTCAACAACGAACGTTAACATTTGGTGAGTAAGCCGACACATCACGTGATCATGCCGACATTTTGAAAAACCTGCGGCTGTCACTAAGATGGTGAGATGCGGTTTGGGTGGCCAACGCTTTTCTCTATCCAGCTGTCCATTAATCCAAATGACAGCCACCCAACATCAAAACGCCCGAATTGTTGGAAGCCACGCCTCAGCAGTCACATGCTCGTCACGGTTTCTCTTCGCACGAGGTCAAAGTGGCGAGACGCAAGCCCCGTGCTTGCATGTAGGTGAGTAAAGATTTGACGGACAATTTGCAATGCAAGAGCCACACGTTTGTGGTCTTGCCATCAAGCCTAGGATTCCGGCCATGTGTCGCCAGAGCTTGGATTCAATAAACTAATCTTTCAAGTCACGATTTGCTTGCCCCCTTAAATTTCATTAACATACTGCACTCCAAATTAATTCACGCCAGAATCCGTCGCTATCACACCAAAAAGCAGCACTCAGATTTTTCTGCAAGAAATTTGTAAAAAACGAGGAAATTGTTCTGGTTTTTGACCAACTGAGTTGGGAGAAACAAATGAGTACCATTGTTTGTGGGGGCTTAAAAAATAAGCCCTAAATGATATTGGGCAACTTAAACCTGCCGTAAACGTAGATATATTCTAAACCGGAGTGTTTACCAGCGAGACGTGCCATTGTCGTGCAGTAAAGTTAGGAATTTCAAAATGTGTTTTTCTCCGGAAAATGTTCGGATAACAACTGTTAACTATCGAGCCTATTATTTGTTAGTTGGTTGTCAGCGTTGGAAAAGTTAAGCTTTACAAATTACATCTATTGCGCTTTTGCCTAAAAGGTCATGAGAACGCCACTACATAGGCATCCCAAATAGAAGAGGTAAAAACATCAGGCAACCAATCCTTTGTGCTACAAACACAGAAGGTGAACGGGAATGAAGGCAGCTGCAATTTCATTTCTTGGTTAGTACCGAGATTCTGGTAGTTGTGTGTTGTCTATGGCTGGTTAGAACTAGTCGGGAAAGTCTTCATTAAGTCATGAATTCAATTCTCTAACTCAAGTAATCACTGACAAGTTGCGACGCACGCGCTATTCAAATTCTTCTGCTTCAACTGATGTTGACAGGAGTTATAATTGAGACGTGTCCGCGAATAGGGCAGCAGTGTCGTACTGTTAGGATTTTTTCAAGCTAAAATTTTTATGCTTAAGCAAATCCTTCGCAATTTTATGGATCCAACCAATTAGGATGTTCCCGCTTCTATTTATTTCCTACTTGACGCTAATAAATGGCGTAAACTGCAAATTTATTACCCTGTGTAGATTAGTAAAATATTGATATTTAAGGAGCTGGAAA